TGCTTGAAATAAACTGGCACGCAGGGCCTCCCTGCACGCCTAACTTCTGTCTATAGGACACCTCGGGCCGGTCCCTCTGGAATGCGTCCCCGTTCGTTTTACAAAGGAAACAACGTCGGGGAAGGCCTGCAGCGTGTGGCAGAGCCGTGCGGGGTTGTTTTTTTTTTTTCTGAAAAGCGGAGCGACTGATTGCAATTATTAGGTCGCTTTTCTTCTGTATGCTATTAACTTCGAAGAATAAAGCAATCGCTTCGATCTCGCCAGTTTTGTTTTCAGGCCTCCCGCCCTCTGCGGCGCCTCGTTCCGCGTCGAGGCTGCAAGCGCTGCGGCTCGGCACGTGGACGGGTGTGCGCGCACGCGCCTACCTCTGACCCGCCGTACTCGTGAGTGTTCACGTGGCGTGTTGTTACTGCAGTACTGTACTGCAAATAACTTAGAAATACTCCTGTTCATCGCAGGCATCGCGAAAAACCAAAAGCACCCAGAGATTTAATTACACGCCTTCGTCCTTTGAAAAAATACTGCAGATACAAAGGGATCGGGTCCTGCGGGCCAGTTTTTCCTGTACTTGAATTAATGAAAGACACTTTGCGTGACTGTAGGATAGGGTCCTGAATTTTCATAGCTGGCCCCATGTTTTTTTCCTGCAATTCCTAAGAATAGAAAACACTCTTGTTTTGTGTGACAATAAACTGAAATCAGAGCTTGAGCTTACTGCCTCAAATTTATACAACATTTTTATTTCATTTCCAAAGCTGGAGTTTTGCAAAAGAAAAGGAAAAAAATTACAAGAATATTTTCTTACCTAAACAAGGTCTTGTTCTCCAAACATATGTCTCTGCTTAGTGTATTATCAGTACCAGCGGAGTTGCTTACACGTGTTAACAGAATTACTTACATGCCTGTGCTAAAGCATTTGCAGGGTTGAGGGCCAAATGAAGACTAAGCTTTTGGAGAGGCAGAGGTATTTAATAGGAAATTTCAAGGTGAATCTCATCAGCTGTTAGCCGGGAAGTAGTATTTAAAGTGGGCCATACGGATCCACTATATCTACCTGCCGTATTGTGCATTTTCACTGAAAACATCTAATCCGGGTTCAAACACATCAACCGTCTCAATGCTGGAAAAATGGGCATTGAACACAACAGCACACCCAGGGGAAAGGAAATCTGGTCAACTGCTAGGTGGCTGGCGTTTTTCTTATTCACGGGAAATGTGCGACACGTATAGCACTTTAACATTTAACGTCATGGGAGAAGTAACAAAATTCCACAGAAGTAAGAGGACTATTAAGATATCAATCAATCCAGGGCAGGTTTCAGTCAGCATTTCCTTTTTGTCAACATATCAAAATTTGTTTTGATCTTATCCTGAGTGCGACACTTTTATCCTCTCTTTAGTTCTGCCAGTTTATTTTCCAATTCATGCCTACAGACCAAAGCATTAGAAGGAGAGGTCAGGAGACGCGGTTCTAGTCTGTATCTTGCTGTCCACACGCTGTAGAATCTCTGGCAAATAGCTTTAGCTGATGCGCCTCAGTTTCCCTGCTAGCAGAATGAAAGCACTTTTGGAGTGCTGGTATTTGAGGTGAAAAGCACAGCAGATACGCAGTGTGTATTGCCTTTACTGTAGCAGCGGCAATATTCAGTCAGATAGGAAGTCAGAGGGGAACTCTGGACAATGGGAATAATACGACTTTTGAGAAAGATCTCAGACATGCAAGGAATGACAGACAAATTAATGGAGATGAACAGGGAGTGGAGCACTGTAAGGAAATAAGAAATTGCAGCCATGTGAGCAGCCCAAGCAAAAGGCAAGATCAACTGCAGCGTGGTTGGGAAAACAGGGAGAAATCATTATGGCACCCCCAGGCAGTGGTAGCGGAGCTGCACTCCAGCCTTCACAGTGCCCCCGGCATCTCTGTCCTCCAAGCCTGACCAGCCTCCAGTGGGAAAAAATAAAGTATTCCCCACACTATGTCCTGTTGTCTTGCACCGTTTAACTAGGGAAGGATGCATCAGGTCAGGCTGGAGGTCCCTCTCGCTTAGCATTCTGTCTTTAACAGTAAGAGCGAGTGACCTTTCTTAAAAGCTGACATTTCATCCCGGCCTGATTTTGCCCACTGAGAGCAGTTATGTTGATTTCATTGTGAAGACTCGATTTGTAAGGTTAAGTGTGTATATAAATGTTTGCAGGACTTCCTTACTGTAAGCCTGCTAACTAAGGGCCCAGGCCTGCAGATTCTTTTAATGTAAGGATTTATGAGTAAGGACCAATACCAACCACTTCTAGAAAATGTTGAAATGTGGAACCATGTAAAGGTCACTTTAAAGCAGTTTTAAATTACCAAAACTTCAGACTTACACAATCTATAACTAACATATGGGTATTATTATAAAACAACTGAAATGTAAACTTGATGAGCTTTCATTCTTAAATATCAACCCACTCTGTTATTCAATAGTACAGAAGAAATAGTTTAAAGCGGTATCTTCAGACAAACTTGGGCCAAATCTACTTATTACTGTAAGAGAGAGTTTGGAGTGAAAATGTGGCCCTCCTGAATTGATGGGAGTTTTGCCATTGATTTCAGTAGGACAGGATTTGAGCATTTAGTGGAAAAAGCCAATTCTAAGACACGTGTTTTTGTCTCATTTATTTAAGCGTGTTGTCAAATTCTATTGTCCATCCTCAGTGTTTGCATACAGGCATTGTTTAAAAGAACAATGCAGAGCAAACATTTTAAATACATGGGAGCTGTCTAGGAATTAGCACTTGCCTATGAAATATGAAATTCACCTAAATAAATACTACATATTTATAGAAAAGAAGTCTTTTTTTTTTCCACACATAAATTTGACCAGTCTATTCCACTTCTTATTTGCATAGAAGAATTTTCTTTAATCCAGGAGGCGCCACACATAAAGTAGCTAATTATCCATATAAAGGAATGTATACATATCCACAGGTTTTAACTAGCATCTGACTTCTGAAAAGCCATGGAAAAAGCTACTGGCTTTGCTTGTTTCATGAAAGGAGCGTTTTACCCGTTGGCACAGTTTCTGTGGGTGTCAGCTCCACCTAAAGGTACTTCCCTAGACCGTACCTTCAGCAGTGCAGATGTATGGTGACACCAACATGCTCTGTTGTCTCCCCTTCTTCCTTTCTACTCCATTGTCTTCCATTCTAAAGGCAATACGCCCAGCCTGTACTTCTGGCTCACGCTGTATTAACAACAGCCATGAGTGTTGTGCGGTATTGTAAGTTGATTCAAGCTAATTTGATTTTTCTAGGTGTGCAGTAAATATGACAGATTCATTAGTCCTTGGCTTAGAAACTTTCCTAACAAGCTGATGTGTTTGTTTAGGCTCAAGCTCCGGGTCTTGGGCACTCGGAAGGAGCAGAGCCGGAGCGGTCCTGAGCAGAGTGGCTGCTCTTGTGTCTGGCCCTTGAACAAGCCAGGGAATAGGGAGTTGGAACAAGGCGATCTTTAAGGTCCCTTCCAACCCAAACCATTCTGTGAGTCTATGAATTTGGCCCCTATGGGACCAAATATTGTATAAATAGCCTTTATTCATTAAAAACAAAAAAACTGTACAAAATGGTGTCAAAGGAAGACATGTCTTCCAGCGTAGATAACACATAGGGAAGCAAAACTCTGCTGTCTTTATTTGAAGCAAGGGTGGCCGTGTCACACTGACCAGACGGATGCAAAAGAAACCAGGACAGGGCACAGCTTGTGGGACTTCCATTCAAGTTAGGATCTGAGCTCTCAACACTGTTTTATAGACCTTAGCTGCTAGGCCCAGTCGTCTCCACCTTGAGAGAGACATCCTACTAGTTTGCTGAGTCCAGGCTCATCCTTTCCTTTCTGACCCTGCCACTTAGCCCAGCCAACCCAAAAGATGCAGACAGTATAAGCAAAAAGTAAAAGCTGCTGGGAATTTTGAGGCAAATACTCCTCAAAATCAGCTTTACCCTGTTTTTGACCTTTCCTCCTTCAACAGTCTCCTTCCTGGGTCACCACATGTTAGCTGTTTGGGGTTACTTGCGCATACCTCTTGTGGTGGGAACTAAGTCCTCCGCTGTGTATAAGGCTCTACTACTCTTGTAAGCCTTCATGTTCTCCTTTTATATGGAGTCTAAGAGCCCTGTTTTTTATTCAGACTGATTGATCTCCATGGGAATTTTGCCAGTTCTG